TGCAAGCCTTGGTTCAAGTGATCATGGGCAATACTGCGTGCTACGTGCGCTGTGCAGTGAGGGATGATAATAGATGGTCGGAAATAATCAGCCGCTCTCGTCCAATAACCACGGCGATGATTGGGCTGGCCCTTGTTGATGAACAATCCCATGAACGGGATTTCGTGCAGTCTTGGTAACATCTGCAGGGCTACTCATGTCAGGTTTAGTCAGGTCCAAGCCCTGGCTCTTGTATCCCTGTCTCCGTCCCTGCAGCAGGCTTTTTGCCTCGAGAATGTGATAGAGAGCTGAGATCCTTCTTCGCATAGTCAAGAGTTGAAGAGACTCGAAGAGAGAGAAAGAAGCAAAGAAAAAGGGGCCCCTGGTAATGGCACAGCTGAGGCGTTGGTGCGGTGTCTCAGAACAGGGGTGTGTCGAAACGCGGAGTTTGGTGCGACAGGGTGTGGCTTGCGGGGGAGATCCCACGACCAGTCACCACCAGGGTTGGAAATTAGTCTAGTCTAGTCTAGTATGGCCTGGACTAATACTAGGCTAGTCTAGTACGGCCTAGACTAATACTATACTAGACTAGTATTAGTATACTAATTAGTATATATTTAAAAAAATCCTTATAAATTAACACTTAATAATTAATTATAAATATTAATATATATTAAAATAAAAGTATTAAAAGCTTACTTTATATAACTTTAAAAACTTAAATATTATTATTTAAATAGAATATTCTTAAAATTTTAGTTTTTTATCAAATTTTTAAAGAATTCAAAATTTGAATTATAAATATTTTTTCATTAAATAGTTTTACTTATATTTACTATAGAAATAATTTTTATTTTATTTTTTAGAGTTTTTTTTAAAATTAATTAAAACTAATATTTGAATTTCTAAAAATAGTAACAAAATTACTATAAATAGTATATTTCGTACTAATTAGTATACTATTAGTATACTAATACTAGTTTAGTATTTTTAAGAGTGGACTAATACTAGACTTACTAGTACTAGACTAGACTAATACTAAATACTAGTAGTATTTTTTCTAACCCTAGTTACTACGTTCTAGCGCCTCCAGCCCATCCCACAGGGGATGCACCGACTACTCACGAATAGGGTTAAAAAAAATATTACTAGTATTTAGTATTAGTCTAGTCTAGTACTAGTAAGTCTAGTATTAGTCCACCCTTAAAAATACTAAACTAGTATTAGTATATTAGTAATATACTAATTAGTATAAAATATACTATTTATAGTAATTTTATTACTATTTTTAGAAATTTCAATATTAGTTTTAATTAATTCTAAAAAAATTCTAAAAAATATAATAAAAATTATTTTTATAATAAATATAAGTAAAACTATTTAATAAAAAAAGTATTTATAATTCAATTTTTGAATTCTTAAAAAATCTAATAAAAAACTAAGATTTTAAGAATATTTTATTTAAATAGTAATATTTAAGTTTTTAAAATTATATAAAATAAGCTTTTAATACTTTTATTTTAAAATAGATTAATATTTATAATTAATTATTTATTATTAATTTATAAATAATTTTTTTTGATATATACTAATTAGTATACTAATACTAGTCTAGTATAGTACTAGTCCAGGCCGTACTAGACTAGCCTAGTATTAGTCCAGGCCATACTAGACTAGACTAGACTAATTTCCAACCCTGCTCACGAACGCCGCAAGGCGCCAGGGAAGAGCCCGGGCCGCCTATGAGGCTCAAAACCCGGCAACTTGATGCCGCATTGCTCATGGAATATCCACCACCACAGGACACCAACAGTGGTCGGTTTTGAGTCGGTACACCTCTTTAATCTTGACCCAGGTTCGGTTGTTGTCAGTTCTTGGCATTCTGGGACTGTGGCTGTATCAGAGGTCCCTTGTGCGGCTCATCCTCTCTAGCGTACGAGTAACAGTACGACAGGAGATGGCTGATGGATCATCACCGGGCCACCCTACCAGCGTATTTCCCCGACACACTGCGGCGTCGCGAAGACCTTCCGTAACGTCCTGTCGATCAGGCTTAGCATCAGATCGTGTTGGGGTCTGTCGAACGAGACGCCAGGCACAACGAGAGAACACCCTCGCTTTCCCCTGTGTGCTCCCCGTCTGCTGACCGCCCAGGGTAGTCTTGGAACTTCTTGGAACTGAAACTGCAAGCGAGTCCAGTACCACATCCATGTTCATGTCTAAAGGGAATAAGGTAGTATGCTTGTTGTCTTCTCATTGCTTGGTACGAGGAGTACTCCGTATACGAGCTTTCGAAGTGGAGGACGACAACCGTCGTCGATACCGCAAGCGCGGGATTCGGCTCATATCCTAGTCCAGGAACCTCCCCTTCCAGCCTCCCCGCGTCCAGCATCTTGGTGCTGTTCGACATCATCAGCGTAGCCCCGACGAGTTTTGAACGAGTCCCATCTTTTGCGGCTAGCTCAGTCCGAGCAACTATCGCAAGCCGTCATAGCCCATGGCCCTGTCTCTCCACCCCCTTTCAGACCCTTTCCATCTGGTATCCCGACTCTGAGACGTTTCTGGTCCTACGCGGCAGGCCGATCAGAGTTTGACGCCTTCTAGTCGAGGCCCTTTTCGTCCAAACTTGGGGCTTCAACCCATGCCTTCGTCACTTAGTCGAATGGAGACTCGCGAATGGACCAAGTGCCGTGCCAAAAGGGGGGGTGCCTTGTCAACTCGCTGTGGAGGGACGAAAACGCAGAGGTCGTTGAGCAAGATATAATATCTTCTCAAACCCGCTCATCAGCCCACCATTGCCTGACCATCCGTACATCTCATTCCACTGTTGGCCCCTGATCGCTTGACGCGACCCTTCATTCCTTTCTCTTGTAATCCAGTTGCTGTCATTTGCTGCCGGTCAGCCAATCATTCTTTTCAAGATGCACTACCCATCCTTTGGCCACTTCCTCTTGGCGAGCATCCTTGCCGTCCAAGGTGTTCAGTCGTTGAACCTCATCCCCACGGGTCAGGTCGCCAGACGCTATGTAGTAAGTTTTCCTTCCACGATGAGTCTAAAGTGTGGGAACGCGAGGACTAATATGAGGTTAAATAGGCTCCCGCCTTGGCACTCGCCATGCCTGCCCTAGCTGCGCCCCAGGCTGCCAGCATCGAGGCTCGTGAGGTAAGATTTAATCTTCTCAAATGTGCTCAGGTCAAAGAGTTATGTATATACTAACACCACCTCTCAGCCTCACCACCGCGGCAAGAAGACCAAGAAGGCCAAGGCCGCTAAGCGCGAGGAGTCTGCTGTCGATGAAGCCTTTGAGGCTCACGACATCGAGGCCCGCGAGCCCCACCACCGCGGCAAGAAGACCAAGAAGGCCAAGGCTGCGAAGCGTGAGGAGTCTGCTGTCGATGAAGCCTTTGAGGCTCACGACATCGAGGCCCGCGAGCCCCACCACCGTGGTAAGAAGACCAAGAAGGCTAAGGCCGCCAAGCGCGAGGAGTCTGCCGTCGACGAGGCTCTCGAGGCTCGTGACATCGAGGCTCGTGAGCCCCACCACCGCGGCAAGAAGACCAAGAAGGCCAAGGCCGCCAAGCGTGAGGAGTCTGCTGTCGACGAGGCCCTCGAGGCCCGCGATGTCGAATCCCGCGAGCCTCACCACCGCGGCAAGAAGACCAAGAAGGCGAAGGCTGCCAAGCGCGACGAGTTCGCCTCCGACGAAGCCATCGAGTCTGCCGAGCACGAGATTGAGGCTCGCGAGCCCCACCACCGTGGAAAGAAGACGAAGAAGGCGAAGGCCGCCAAGCGTGACGAATTTGTCTCTGAGGAGGCCGTAGAGTCTGCTGAGCACGAGATCGAGGCCCGTGAACCCCACCACCGCGGCAAGAAGACTAAGAAGGCGAAGGCCGCCAAGCGCGACGAGTCCGCCTCCGACGAAGCCATCGAGTCTGCCGAGCACGAGATTGAGGCTCGCGAGCCCCACCACCGTGGCAAGAAGACCAAGAAGGCGAAGGCTGCTAAGCGTGACGAGTCCGCCTCCGACGACGCCGCTGAGCACTCCGTCGAGACCCGCGAGCCCCACCACCGCGGCAAGAAGACCAAGAAGGCGAAGGCTGCCAAGCGCGACGAGTTCGCTTCTGAGGACGCTGCCGAGCACGCCGTTGAGGCTCGTGAGCCCCATCACCGCGGCAAGAAGACGAAGAAGGCCAAGGCCGCTAAGCGCGACGAGTACGCCGCCGTTGAGGCTCGCGCTTTCACCGCTTAAGGGGGGTTGTCCAACTTTGTGGCAGACATGGGGGCCAACAACTTAATGCTCTGACCCGGGCAACCCTTGAGTTGAGACGACCGCCAGTTCTTCCTTGTATCTAGAGTCCGAAATTCACAGCAAATTACATCAAGTTCGGATTCGGTTGACTGGTTCGCGTTCGCAAACCAACTTGGCCAATGCTGTGTTGTGTAGACTAGAAAATCAGCTTCTCATTTTTCCATATATTTTTAACAGTAATAATGACAGTACCAAAGTGCATTTTCTCTTGGCCCAAACATGTCCTTGGTCGTGCGTCGTTGACCGTGAAACTCTACTGCCGTCGCAAGGCCGGCAGACTTCGGTCTGATTCTTTTTTCTCCTTTGCTGCTTGCATGAACCGCAACGTGTTGCGACGAAATTAGTGTTTCGCCTCAAAGTCATTCCTGACGTTGGGACGATATCGAAACATCTCGGAGCCGGACCGGCCGCCCATTGCGGAGGCGGGGTGACTAGGACACCCCTCGTTATCGCGCTCGTAACGTCCGTATGGTGGATGCGAAAGCAGCGGAGACCCCGATCAAGATCCCAAAGACCAATTGACGGACATCCATGGTGGAAGTACGCGAATAATTGACCCGGGACTGGCGATATCCGAAAATGCCATGACGTGTGTCGTTTGTTGGAGCCACTTGACCCAGCGACTTTGAGGCTCACGGATTTCCACATTGCCAAGCGTTGCTGTTCGAACGTGATCTACCAGGGACGCCCAGTGATTCGTTTCGGAAAGGATCATTGCCAGGAACTGCGAGCCTTGGGTCGCAGCAACTCGTCGAGATCGCTTTCGGTCCTTTCCCCAAGAACCCCCGTGGTCTTTTGCTCATCTCCCGCTGATTTGTACCATCGATTGAACCGTGGATCATGGACGGCCATCTCCCGAACTAGTTCCACTTGGCAGTTCTCAACTTCATCACAATTCCAGTATGTAGCCACATGGAAATAGCAGACGAGACGGGAGGCCTGAGCATAGCCGAATATTCGCATCTTCCATTCCAATTGGTATGGCTCGCGACCGTAGGCTGATTTTTTTTTTTTTTTGACTTTGCTCGAATCCCAAGGGTCAAAGCGAACTTCCGTCATCTTGTCTGTTACATTAAAGACCGCAAAGTCCGGCTGGACCAATGCCAGCTCGTCAAGACCGAAGCTAAAATATTGACTAACATCTTTTTCATCGGTTCTCTTTCATTGTATGTGGATACCGTGTTTCTTGAGCTTGATGTGATCGAATGCTTGATTGGCGTTCGCCGTGTTGATGATGTGCATGATGGGTGGTCTTGGAGCTCTCAGGTAAGTAAGCCTGTAAGTGCCCCTGACACCTCAGGTCGCGATTGGAATGGCGAATGCCTAGCGAGGCTTATGTAATGCACCAAGCTCCGCCTCGAAGTGATAGCTTTATCTTATCGATAAGATACGGCTGAGGCAGCTGGATGGTGGGGTAAGTGCTTCCATTGTCACCAGCATCTCCAACCTTCCTGTGAGCCTAAGCCGTCCCTCAACGTCATCTCCTGCAAACACAACTGCTCACGCGGAAACGAGCAGTCAAGATGGAGACAGCTCTCAAGTCGTGGGGTATGTCGTGAAATCTTTTACATTGTCGCCATTGTCGCGCCCAATACAGCTGACCACTTGCTCTAGAGCTCGACAACAACGTAAAGTTGGTTGACACCAAACGCGACGCTCTCTACAACCTCGACCACGATGCCCAGAAGGAACAGATGAACGCCCGCCCGTGGGCCGCGAACCCGAACCACTTCAAAAACGTCCGCATAAGCGCCGTGGCTCTCATCAAGATGGTGATGCACGCCCGTTCCGGCGGCAACCTCGAGGTGATGGGTCTGATGCAGGGCTATGTCAATGGCGACACTTTCATCGTCACAGATGCCTTCCGATTACCCGTGGAGGGAACCGAGACGCGCGTCAACGCCCAGGGCGACGCCGAAGAATACATGGTCGAATACCTCAGCCTCTGCCGTGAGCAGGGCAGAATGGAGAACGTCGTCGGATGGTATCACTCACATCCGGGCTACGGCTGCTGGCTGTCCGGCATCGACGTCGGCACCCAGGCGCTGCAGCAGCAATTCCAGGAGCCCTTCCTCGCCGTCGTCATCGACCCTGACCGCACCATCAACGCAGGCAAGGTGGAGATTGGGGCTTTCCGAACGTACCCCGAGAACTACATCAAGGAGAAGGAGGGCGGGGCCAGCGGCAGTGGCGTTACCAGCGACGGATGGCAGGAAGTCCCTCTGGCGAAGGCGGCAGAGTTCGGCGCTCACGCGAACAAGTACTACAGCCTCGAGGTGTCCCATTTCAAGAGCACGCTTGAGTCCCAGATGCTGGAGCTGCTGTGGCACAAGTACTGGGTACAGACGCTGAGCCAAAGCCCGCTCATTACGAATCGCGACTACGGAAACAAACAGATGCTTGATCTCGCATCCAAGATCAAGGAGACTACGACACAAGTCGCCCGTCAGGGACGGAGTGCTCCGGGAACGGGTGGTGTCGGCGCGGCCAGCAAAAAGGTCGACGGACTGCTCGAGAAGCTCGTGAAGGACAGCAATACTGTGGCGATGCAGGAGCGGACTGGTCTCGTTGCGATGGAGGTGAAGAAGAAGATCTTTAATGACGTGAGCGCGAATGCGTCGTGAGTCTGGTAGAAGTTTCGCTTTGTTGCTTGGCCTCGATACAGGTCTTCGCGAGGTCCTGGGCATGATAGATGGCGTTCAGAGGATAGGGTGGGCTTTGGCCCCGAAATGATGACATGATTTTGAGCCGTAATCGCTGCTGTAAAATGATGTTTTACCTGATTGAAGTGCCTCAGCTGATATCCCACTAAGTCTTTCAAGCCCTCTTGCCTTATTGTGACTGTTTGAGCTTCCCACGTGAGGCTTGAGCTTGACCACGATCTTGAATCGTAAGCTGTTTTCCGGGTGAAAAGTACACACCTAGTATCCTGCGAATACATTGCACCTAAAAGCTCAGCCTCAACATACGATGACCTTCAGATGACACGTTCCAAGGGGCCGAGACGGTTCATTTCAAGGTGGCATCGAATACTCAGCAGGCGAAAGCAGCCTCTGTGCCGATGAAGTCCCTCCCTTCCTTCGGTTCTCTGCCAAAGGAAGGATATGAATTTCGCAGCCACATCTAGCCTGGTTAGATGTGCATGCCTTCCTACTAATTCTTTCGGTCCAGTCACAGGCTTTCCGACTAAATATTTGCTGTGTTACACAGATCACTCTGAACTTGCAATTATCGAATGCATCAGACCGGTGAGAGCTCCTAAGTAACTTCGCCGACCAAGTGATGTCAACTTTCCCCAATCATGCTGGTCCACGAATATTTCATCTCTCTTATAACACTTGCAAAAGGTTCCCTTCCTGGGCAAACCAACGCCGTTCCCCATCGTCAGTGACCGAAACATAGCTAACATCACCTGACGGCGGGTCCTCAGTGAAGCTTCTCGGCTTTCCCTTGCTCCAGCACTATATCACGCTCTACGTCTATGCCTTGTCTAGTGAGAAATACATACAGATGCACAATAATGTTTGTTTGCGCTAGGATGAGACCCAGGAAGACCGGCTCAAGTTACGCGTCGCCGGTCCTCAGCAAGAAAACCATGTCCAGAGCTAATGCTATCCAGTATCTCAATACTGTCATCCAGAAACGAGTAGCTCATTTCTTGTCAAAGAGCTTCTTCCTTCAGCCCTCATAGAGTAGTAGGTTCATCGCTCAACACATCCGTCCAGGAAACGACCATCTGGCGCGATGTACGACCTTAGATGTGGCATTTCCCCAGCACACTGGCTTATGGGGTGTACTTCCCGAATGCCACCACGTTCATGTCGAGCGTAAGCCAACATCACTACTGTAGAGAATGATTCAATGATCATGGCTATTAGGCGGCGATCTCCTGGTAAAAACGCACCGATGGAGTGCTTGTCCCGCCACATATGAAGACAAACCTCTCAGACATCCCCAGCTCTCTGGACTCAATGGAAGATTCTTCAGAGAGAGTGGATGAGCGACGGTTTTCAAAGACTGGCTATATGTATCAAGGAAGTGATTAATTCTCTAGGGTCGTAGACGAGGCAGAGGTAATGCGGAGGACCACTCAGGCATTGCGACGTAAGCGGATGTGCTGGGCTCACGTTCCCGAGCTCTATGATGTCTCCTTTGCTTGCGGTTCTGATAAGAAATACTGTCGCCGACCGATTCGAGACCGCACACCTGAAGCTTTGGCTCCTGACCTCCAGAGTAGTAGCCTAGATGAGAGAATTGGATCATAGACTGGAACCACGTGGCCCATCTTGGCCTCCACGGCCAAGGGCAGAATACTTGGGCGCTTTAGGCTTCTCCGATAGACGGGCCCCTCGATATGGGCATTAGGTACATGGGGGCGCGAACAAGGGCATATTCACATCCCTTCAAGTTCCGGCTATTTGCCTGATATCATCCTTTGGCTCCCTTTGCTATATTTCCCATGTACCCATAGATCCGCATTTAACTCATGAGATGAAGATTCAGAGCATGGCGGTTAAGCGTCTGTCATGTTCGTATCAGCGGATACAGTTATATGATTCGCTGTGTCACATTGGAGATAACATAAGAGTCTTTTGAGGTAAGTTTCATCGTATTATCAAGATGATTGCATATTTAGATGCATACATAGACGAGTTGATATGCTGAGCTTCGAAGACCAAAACATCGCCCTATTTCAAGACGAGACCTACGTACGCTCCTCATCCACCTCGTCATCAGTCCTCTCGAAACGGTGCACAACATGCCAGAGATCGTCCAACGACGTCTTCCAGACGAGGCTCAGACGTAGCATCTCGCCAACTCGACCACGAGGTAAAAGGCCTCTAGCTTCTCATAGGTGAGTTGGTCATCCCGAGTAAACTGAACTCTATGATCCATGCATCTTGGAAGAGCCCGGCATTGCCTTCCGTAGATCAACAGTAAATGTGACTCTCCCAAAGAGCAAGACGCAAACTGCGTCAACTCTCACGAACCTACCGAGGCCGAGAGGAACACTTCCTAATCTACCACTCACTTAGTCTCACTGTTCCCGCAGGCTTTTACCTTCCACCATCATAACCGCCTCATGCCCGTCGGCGAAATATCAACAATAGTCCAGGCCCCGGAAACCGATTCTCAACGTATGTATCCAAATGGCCTCTTTCCTTCTAGACCTACCGTATCCCGTCATGGTCTGTCCTCTTCCATCGGCACCCTTCCCTAGACAGGGCGGCAGAATACCATTAACGACTTCGTCCATCATTTATCGCTTAGGCCATTTCCGCATCGATTCCTCTGATATCGGACACATGTCGATACCCGTCCAAGCAGCAACAAGCTACATGGCTCAAGTAAACCCCCTAAGACTGACCCGTTCTCAGAAAACATCGTCACGACCAACGTCCCAATTTCAGCCTTGTCCAATCCCAGGGTTCGCCGTCCGAGGTCGATCGAGTTCTTCGAAATAAAAGTCGTCCGCCTCGCTCCAGTCGTATCCCCTCACCATATCCCTCCTCTTGTTGACACCTCAAACCTCTGCCCTTCCCAGTCGGCTAACAGCATCCATCATACTTTGCACCAGTCAAAGCCAGTCTCCCATGCCATCCACTCAACCTCAATCCCGGCCCGTTTATCCAATTGCCTGTCGTCGTCGTCGTCGTCGTCGTCGTCGTCTTCGTGCTGACCGTATGATCCTCATTCATCCCGGGGCGATGGAAAAGCCTGGTCCTTCATCGCGGTTCATATTGCAGCCAACGCAATCGATATCAATCACCTCTCATTACCCCCAAGCACAACCTCAGCCCCAGACCCTCGACCAAACATTCCGCGAGAAACCTGTAAATCAAGCCATCAAGCAAACGAGCAAGAAAATAAGAGTCAAATCCAAGAGAGTCCAAGGGGAAGATCCCCTCCCCCTAAATACACGCTCCTTCCCCTCCTTCTCCAAGTACACCACCCATCCCCAAAATGTCGCCATCCAAGAGAACAACACGTAAACACCATATTCGCATCACCTCACGCAATCCACGCCACCGAACTTTCGCACTCTCACATTCTATATAGCCTCTGCCGTACAATCTCTGTAACTCGTTGTAACAGTGTACCACCAACACAAGTCTCTCGATACGTCATCCCCAGACCCCGTCACGCAACCAGACTAGAATCTACGTGTCACCCGACGCCTCAATCGGAACTCGATCAACCGTTTCGCCCAACATGAAGCTTCACACCATCACCATCGCCGCTACCGTCCCGTCCCGTCCCACCCCCCCGGCAGTCCCATCACCACCGCACACACCAAACGATCCAACCACCCATCTCGCATCCTCCCTCACCGCCTCACAGCCTCACCGATCGCGCCAAGCACATCAAGTCCCTACATACCTTATCTGCTGTCCGCAGACCACATCCATCGAAACAAGGCACCCTGACCAGCCAACCCCATCGCCCACTATGCCCCCCGAAACTCAAAAATCATCCTCTTGACTCTTGCAGTCCATACAACTCGCGTAGAGTTCTTGCCATCCACCTTTCTTCACAATCACATCCACAACAACGTCCATACATAGGCCGTCCTTACCCATCCCACTGTGACTGTAGTCCGTAGACCCCTCCTCCTCCTCCCCTGTAAACTTTGTTCCCGATTACCCTACGCACATATCTAGCGTGGACGGAAATGTCATGAACTCACAACGCGTATATCAACAAAGTCCCAAGGATCCTTTTCTGCATTCACAAACGTATAACCATTGTGTAATAATTCCCAGCCTCGAAGGGCAGAATATCTTTTCACGTGTCAGCACAGAATACTCTCGAAATGGCAGGTGGATATCCGTAAGGGCAGCAAACTCATTTCCGTTGAGCCTCGACCACAAGCAAGTTGCACCTCACGCGAGAAATCCAACGACTTCACTTTACACCGTCTATAGCCGCCCATGACCCGAAAATCCTCGTCGATCAACACATCACCACATGCTAAATCGCAACACCTCATCGTTTCGAAACGTTCCTCTAGTCTACCTGTGGAAGGTAATCCAAGATTTCCCATGGTCAAATTTCACAACACGAACAAAAAAAACAAAGGTTCCCCGCGGTCCTAGCAGATCCCAAAAGTCCCCTCAACGTCCAACATCCTTACCGCCTTCCGAATACCCCTTCCAACGCCCGACGCTTAAACCCTCAAGGCTCGTAGGTCCCAAAGCCTCTCTCCACCTCCTTCTTAAAAAGGCAGTCGGCAAACACGAACCGAAAGGAACGATAAGAAGGGTGCCCCAGTCCAGCCAAGGAACATCCCAACCTCCTTCTAGAAGGCCACGATGGACGGTTGGGCTCCATACCGTCGTGGCCGTGTACGAATAGAAAATCAGCAGGAGGGGGCGGAAGAGAAAAAAAAAGAGTGAGCAGGACTCCGCTAAAGAAGCGGGCAGCGCGCAAGGAAATGAGATATCACCCGCGGATCCCCGCAACGTAGTGTAGTCTTACTCCGCCCTGTGCAAAGTTCACCTTCAAGTCCTTGCTCTTCTGAACCTCACACCCCTAGGATTGGCCCTAAGGCTTTCCATATCCATACGATGTTGACCGTATTCTTTGGTTGTCAACAACTGGCTTTTCTAAGGCGCCGTAAGGACCTGCAAGGATACTCCTCATCTCCCCTCTTCGGAGCGCCCGCAAGAAGGACCCCTAATTAAGTCGAACTGCTCTGGTCGACTGGTTCTCCCTGGAACACCACATGGGAGATTCTGGGACCCCTTAAATTGTCCCTTGGACACGTAACAATATCCATAAAACCCTTAGAAAATGAAGGCTACAGAAACTGCGATGACTGACAAGCCCCAGTGCAGAGCAGCGCAGATACCAACAGTCGTTGCCACAGCCATGTGCAAACGGGCGCACCATCGCGTAACGCGCGACGTCCCGAGCGGATCCCGACGATTTGGTAACATCATCTGCAAGGAGGTGGCGAACTTTTCCCCGTACTGTGCTGCAGCCAGTGAGCCACAGAAGAACATGCTCACTCTGTGCAAAGCATCCGTACGAATACAGGATACTCTGGAGACTGGAGAATGCTCTAGAGTCGGGAGACTGGAGCTATATCCGCGAACCGCGTAACCGATCGGACGAGAGTGGGAATTTCCGCATTCCGCATCTTCTTGGGGCAAAGTTTGGTGGGATCGATGGCTGCCAACTGCCGAGGCGTGGCGGCCCCCCCAGCGCACAAGCGCACAAAGTGGAATTGTCGACCTGGCGATTTTCGCGTCTGTCCAGTATCTGCGGATTCAGCCTGCGACCTGCCTCTGCACTCCCGAATCCCGTAGGCTGGCGGCGGCTGGTCCAACACGGGCTTCGCTCGTCTCTCGGACAAGGAGCTGTCAAAATGTCAGTGATTCCGGCCCGTGTGGATGCCACTACTGGAGAAAATGAGGACTAGGTAATTCCGAAAGTGTGAATCAAAAATGGCCCCCACCACCAGGTAGCCGTAGCGTAGGGCATCGTCCCCCGACAAGTCCGATAATATGTTGGTCCGCCGACTTGAAGCGAGCGCGACATTGCAGGACAAGGCAAAGAAGGCATGCCAGTCGTGAGCCACGTCTTCGGCTTGGCCGCATCTGCCCTTCTACTGCGGTGAGTGATGGTCCGCAGCCCAACCTCAATTTCTCGAGACTTCTGCCACCTGTGACTCGTGAGTGTGACTTGACCGCCTGTCTGCCCACCCCGGTCATATTGTCGCAATTTCGCACGCTCTATCCGAACATTTGCTCCATCGGTATCAGCAGCAGCCGGTCTTTTGAAGGCGGTCAGCATTTCATGTCTGGAAGTTGCTCTGCATCCACCTAGCATTGCACCAAATATCAATGGACATTCGAGTTAGGCCTCCATGCATCAGTGCGTTTTGTGACCCCTGTTCGCGCAACGTGTTCCTGGGCTTTGCTGCTTGCCCTGCATAAAGTATGTGGGAAACTCAACACTCCAACCTCCGCTAGTGGATGCTTGTAAGAATATTTGTTCAATATGTGATGTGAGATTGGGCTCTTCAACTAAAAACAATATGCCCCAGTAGGGCGCGCCTATGCTCCTCATACGGATTCTGATGCCGTATTGTTTGATTCCCATGTCCCCATCCACGCATGCTGGGAATCGTCGCTGCGCCGTAACAAATCAACCTTGACGGCAGCACCTTGCTAATCCAAAAACTCCGGCTCTCCTGCGTCGTCGCTATGTCCTCTCGCATTTCGCGTGCATACATCAGAAAGGGGGAAAAAAAAAAAAAGAACCACCCCTCCCCCCCAGCCCTGTTCCTGTCTTGCTGTGTGTGGTGCGCTATCCCTGAGTCATGTCGCTGCATCCCCGTTTGGTCATTTTGGCGTCACAACTTGGCCTGCATTTCACATGCGACGGTCGAGTCAATGTCCCGCCAGGAGATGGGCTGTTGGCGTGGGGGGAACTTCTTGCTGGAACCGGATCCGATGAAGAGTCCCCACAGGTTGCGTCCTCCGAATTCTTCCCGCGTGTGAGGTGTGGATTTGTCCTCCGAGTGGATATCGACGAACCTACGGGTTTCGGGTCCTCGAAGCGGTTTGTCTTCGGGTCCTTGGCCGAGTCCAGTGTCGAAGGAAATAACCGGAAGAGCGGAGTAGAATCGAGAAGGATGGGAAGAAAGTTGACAGAAAAAATGATAAATATGCATGCGCCTCCAATGCTCATGATCCCAGTCCGTCGCTATGCATGTGATGTCGAATAAAAAATAAAATAAAAAAAGTGCTGTGAGTGGTGGCCTGGTCCTTTGGCTCACCCGTGTGAGAGAGAATGTGTGTTGTGCCGGAGGCTTTGCAGCGTGCGTTGTGCTGAGTTGGAGGTGAAATGTGACCCCACGTCGCTGGCCAGTCATAGCCCCGCATCTCCCAAGCTCGCTCGCTTTGAGGAAACTCGGAGGTGCTCGTCGCATGTCGCTGGCATCAGGCCATGCTCTCGGAACCGGGCCGTGTAGGTACGGACGCTTGGCTGTGTATGCTGCGTGCGCTTGTGCGCGAAGGGTGTGTCGGACGTGTGTCCACCAATTCTGTCGTTCGAGAAAGCCCCCTTACCAAACCCGATTCTTTCGTAGGGCAAATTTCTTGCCAGCGCATCTCGCGTCCGTCATTTTTTCTTGGATTGCTCCGTCCTTCCCCTGTTTCTTTGGTTCGCCTCGGGTGACTCACCCAGACTGCTCCAGCTCTCATCGGGCCTCGCGGTCCGCTCTCCTCAGTCGGCGATACTCGCTTCTAAGAAAAGTCGACAAACACAGCAGGTAAGGTTGACCCGCAAAAAAAGGTGTGCGTGCTCATTTCGAAGAAAAGGCGTGCCGTCGGCCGTCGGCCATCAAAAAGTTCCTCGCCCGTAGGCGGCAGGCGGTAGGCGAAATGCAAAAGTGCCTCTAGCTATTACCAAACAGTAAGGTAAGAGCATGTAAAAAAGGCCCGCAGATCGACTCCTTCTAGAAGCGCAAGAAGGAACCGAAGAGAGAGAAGAAAAAAAAATCCTTGGGGGCGCTAGCCAGTCGTGCCAGTTCCAGGGTAACAGCGTCTCTCTTTTCGTCTTGGGTGCCCCAGACGGCGTCTTGGACGCTTCGGGCAGAAAATGGAGCCCTCGTCTCGGCACTCTGACCAAAGACCGACAGGGAAACCACAGTGCCAGACGTGCGATGATGCTGACCATTCCGCGATATCGGATAAGGCAGGCACTTAATGTCTGGCCCCTTGTTGCGTGGGAATGCGGGCCCCAACGCTTCCCCGTAAATTAGCGCCTCGGGGGGCCCTGCTGAATGACGATTCCACCCGGCAGTGACGGTGCAATCAGGGCAAGCCCACAACATTTCGCAGAACCCCGACCCTCCCACTTCTTGCTTTCTGCCCTTCTCCGCGGACAACACCGTCGTAGTGCAGCACGTTGCGGGAGGGGGATGCGCCATGCCATGGAACAAGCCACACCCATTGCAAGAGAGAGGGAAAAAAAACAAGCTTGCCGTCGACCATGGGTGTTGGAACCTCAACCCTCGTAGGATTGTGACGTGCTCAAGCCGTGGAGACTGTCCACGCTGCGGCATCGGTGCGCAGTGTTGCATCTCTCTCTTTTTTTCTTCCTCTCGTAGTGGACTATGTCGGGTTGATGCGATGAAGGCTGGATAGATAGTCGCTTAATGTACCAAGCTCGCATGACACTTTTCTTCAATGCGACACTGGAATCCATCGTGCTGGGACGCCGTCGCTACCAACATCGTAAGGGCGTACGCTGGCCTTTCGCGGCGGTAACGCCCAGCGAGCGCGGCCCGGCCGTTGGTCGTCGAGTTTGCCCTGCTTGCGCATCGCCATCTCCATGACTGCGATACGAATGAAGTCCGAGTTCTCCCGCATCTCTCGCTGACGCATGCCTCCTGGAGGATACGTGAATGCGGTCTGGGTCGGAGATTGTGCTGGGGGCTGATAAGGTGTTGACTGAGTCGTGACCGCCGATATCGCCGGGGAGGGGCTCCGAGTTGATGTGGGTGGTGCACTCCGGCTTTTCTGAACCTTGTATGTTTGCATCTGGATAGACGCAGTAAAGCTTCGCGTGCCCGTCGGCGTAGTGGCCGCTACAGGGTGGGGCTCAATTCGAGCGTTTGTCGTGGGGTTCAGATACCGGCGCAACGCAGCCGACGGCTCCTCCTCGAGTACTGGTGGCCTTCGCTCATCCGTGTAAGGCACCTTGGGGTCGATGGTGAGAATGGATCTCGTGAGGAAATCGTCGGGCGGGATAGACGAAAAGTTAATGGCTGAGATAGATCGTGCAGCCGAGCGCAGGGCGCGGAGTGATGCAGTCAGATTGGACTTGAACGCTGACTTGAGAGGGCGCAGCGGGAAAGTGTAGTCAGAGAATGAGAACTCTGACTTGGTGTCCTCTTCATCCTGAGACTCGTCGAACACTCTAAAGTCAATCTCGTCGACGCTGACCCGGTCGCGGGACAGTGGGTGGTCCTCGGGCTGACCGGGAGGAGATGAGATGGGTTCCAGCGAACGCCTGGGTTGGCGGGAGCGCTTCCTCCGCGGGCTGGATCCATAAGGTGACTCGACCGACGACAGTGTGTCGGTGGAAAAAGAATCGCCTAGTGAAGGAACCGATTCCACAGAAACAGTTCTGGTAGATAACACGGAACCAAGACCGCTATCGCTAACTGACATATCATCGTCTGTCAGGTCGTCGGGTGGCGATAACAGCAAGTCTAGGGGGCTCTTGCCGAAAGTGAGACTAAGTTCCTTTTCGCAGACTTGCTGTCTCTCGATAACAGCTTCCAGAGTCATTGCCTGGTCCCTGGATAGCCTCTGCCTCAAGCTGCGTCGAGGTCTAGGAATATCAGTGACGGCCAGCAAGGCCAGCATGGCAGGCGGGACGGCGTCCGGTGAGTGAACATCCCTCGGCCGGGAGGGCTTCCGATGCGCATGGCGGCTAGAGGTGTAAAACGGGGTCGCCTTTGATTTTGAGGGAATCTGAACAGGCGTAGTCGGAGTCGTCGGTCTGGTGTTTACGCTTGTTGTTGTCCGAGGAGGGCTCGAAGGCGCCAGCTTAGAAGTTTCGCGGCGAGCATCCTTCCTTTTGGCCATGGTAGCTGAGGTGGTAATGGAAGAAGTAGGGATAGGCGTGAGGGTGACGGACACGTTCTGAGCATCCTTTTTCCGATCCAGTAGGGCAGAAGGCAAAGCCGTTCTGGGGATGTTGACGGGAGTGGTTGTTGTCGTCGTCTTCGTGGTAGCAGCAACAGCAGCAGCAGTCGTAGTAGTAGCAGTAGATGATCTCGGGCTGGCGGCGTAGCTGTTGTTGGTCGGTTTGCGCGTGAGACTCGAAGGGGAGGGAGAAGATGGTGGAGGGGTGGTCGAGGCCGAGGGCTGCCTATTGTAGTAAAGGAAACTCCTTGGGGACATCATGGCGGCGTCTGGACATGCCCTGGTGCGCCAGTGGCTCGGCGGGGCAAGCCGGACCCGACAGGCAAGACAGGTTGACAGGGAAGGGGTGTGGAAGGGGACCAGACCAGGCACGAGTGCGCACGAGCACAACCACAACCACAACCAGCTCGGTGCCGCAGTGCGTTGGGCAGGGGAGGAGGGTGTAACTCGGGGTGTGGTGCTGTAACCGGGACTGGGCCTGGCAAGGCAGGTCAAGAGCCAAAGCAAGCGGGCTACTGCGGGCTCAGTCTTGACTGTTCAGCATAAACCCCAGCGGGCCAGGCTAAGCAGGAGATGGGTTGGGTTGACCAGTGGAGTTGCGTGGGCACGGCGGGCTGGTGGTTCAGACACCACAGACCAAACCAGTGGATTCACTGAACTGATGTATTCCGTACAGGCCACACAGTGTTGGTGCCAGCAAGGGCGAGAGTACTGTGCTGTGGACGAAGTAGGTAGGGATACCTCCACGATTAGGGGACCAGTTCGGTCAGAATTTTGGCGTCGAACGGACGTGCTCGTCTGGCCTTTGGCTTTCTGCCTTTTTCTCCAGCGCGTGTACTGTATCCTCTTTCGGTCGCTGTTTGAGTGTGTCGTGTGCCAGGGGCAGGGGTCGTCGATGTTTTGGTAACGTAAAGTTAACCGTCTCGCAGCTAATCAGCGTTGAGGCTTTGTATAGTCCTTCTCCAGCAGGAATCGCGACGGAACTTTCAAGGGCAATGATTGCTGGGACGTGACGCAGCGGAGCACGGGACCGAAAGGCTTGTATCGTATAATGCGATGTGATGCGTGGTTCCTGGTGGTATTCGGACCCGGCTTTTGACTGGAGCTGCAGACGAGGCGAGGGATCGAGAAGCAAGGAGGCGGGTTGGGAGAATGTTGCTAGGTACTGACAGCGTCGAATTTGGGTTGGGTTTGTGTGTACCAGTGTACCAGTAATGTCGGTGCAAAGCGCGGTTTGTCACTCGTCTTGTGCTTGAATAGAGTGTGGAGAGCCAAGTGCGCGCGAGTCGGGTACTTCGTCAGAGGTTAAGAGGTGACGATGATCGACTGTGTGGAGGATGCTATTATCGATTTGCACCACAGGGAAAGGCCTGACGGTGACTTGGGGTATTGATGCTTTCGTCCTTGTGAGATGGAAGGATAGGTTGTCGTGGACTGTCACGAGGAGAAATTCGAGACTCGAGATGACGATGTTGTCTAATAGTATTAGGTACGATTAGTCGGATGTTCGTCTCGGAAAGGCTGGACCTGGAGTTCTGTGATGGTCGGAATCCGGTGTTATCGGGGCAGATGATGGGCTTGCGAGAGAAAGGGTACTGATTAGCTATTGGTATCGTATCCGTTGCGCAGTGCCTTGGTCGAGAAGGAGAGATGACGACAGTCGGCGAGTTGAGGAGTGGCGAAGTGAGGAAGCGAGAGAGAGAGCGACTCGCGTACTTGGCGGCACAGTCGCAGTTGGGAGGTTGAGAATGGCTTCCAAACAAGAAGCAGGCACAAGATGGGAGGCTCTCTGGTTTTAGGTGGCCAAGCACAGAAAGGTTATCAGACTGGATCGAGGTTGCCCTGACTGATTATGGATGATACAGATATGTCACTTCATCGAGGTAATCGAAGCACAGAGAACTTGGAAAGGCAGCGAGCGAACAGCAGATGGGCCGTGGACTGGGGCAAGCACTGATGCTCTGACACTGATAACCCTGATACGGGGGGGGCCAAGATGGGAGGCCAGAGATAAGGAATCGAAGGGCAAGGTGTCGAGGGTGTGTCGACGGTCGTGGAGCGTGGTGTGGTGTCCCAACTGCCCTGCCTGCCCGGGCTGGACAACTCAACATGGGGCAGTCGCCAGTCACTCACTCTCTCAGTCTCGGCAGAGAAGGAAGTCAATCGTAAAAATGGCTGAATGACTAGAGGCACGGGGGGCAAGAGGCAAAGCAAGGCAGAGCGAGGCACGCCGCATTTCTGGGAAAGAACAACCTCAATCCACGGTATCAGCTGAGAAAGGACATTGCCATCCATGAGGTAGGTAGGTACCCGTAGACATGTTCTTTCCTTCTTGTCCCATTTTCTCTTTCCCTCTCTTCCCCCTACTTGCCTTCCTGCTGCGCGAGGGTACCTTAGGTGTCTGTAAAAAGTGGAAGGTACGTAGGTACGTGGTGACTTGGCAACTTGGGAAGGCAGCATGGAAGTCAACCTGGTATTGGATGGAGGTACTTGTAATATCGGCCGCCCAACCTGAAGGAAGAAGGAAGGAGGTGCGCCTACCTCGTTTGCTCCCCCCCGTCTGTCTGCCTGCCCGATTTGGAGATGTTTCTGTTCGTACCCGGTCACCAAAGGAAGCAAGACCGAACGGCAAACGAAGGATGGGCGCACCGCCGCACAGGCCCGGCTGAGTACCTACACCACCACACCCAGGTCCCTAGGTAAGGTATGGAAGGAAAGCAACAGACAGACTTGGGGAGGGTTCACTTTCCAATTCTATTGTCACCGTGTCACGTTTTGGTTGCGCAGGAAGCAAAGTCACTGATAAGAACCTCGAAAGCCTCCAATCCCCTTGCCCCCATGTCTTTTCCTCACCCTTCCCACCGGCTACTGGCACAGCGTCACCTCTCACCCGCATGTTTTGGGCTTAGAGTTTGGGGTGACATGAGATTTTGGGGGTCCAAGACGGCCAAGGGCTCAAGGGGGAACACGGGGAATGGAGACCACGGGGGTCACTTTCTCTCTCTTCCGTTCCTATGTCTCTCCATCAGAGTCTCACTCCGATACCTGAATCCAAAGGTCACGCGCCAGAGTTCCAAGCCCTGAGTGCAACCCCAGTCCAAGATGCTCCGTATTACTCTCCAACATCAACCTAGAAATTCCGTCTATGAACACCTTCTTGTTAATCACAGATTATAAATGCACACTCCGGGCAACGCCCGAGTTCCATCTCACTGTTACAATTAAAGGACACGACCGACGGCCACTGGCAAGCACGGAGCCCTCCTCCCTCCATGCACTAAATGACACTCTCCACAGGCTTGAATTAACCCCTTTGCGCCCATCAGTGGCTCTGGAACAGTGGCAGATGGAAACCAGCCCGTCATAATAGTGGACTCATTTGATGAGTCTAGCGGGCATGGTCCAAGACAATCAAGACAATCAAGACAATCCCACGACTCTTCAGCAGGGTCTCACCGTGAGAGTGCCCGGCTGACCCGATCATAGGTGGCCCCCGTCGACGATTGTGGAAATGGCGGACCGCCACTTGTTATTTGGTTGCGAGCCAATGAGAGCGATGGGATTGTTTCGGGGATAAGAAAGCAATCGACCACCTTATGTAAGACGCATAACTATCCGTAAGATACTTTAGGTATGTTCAATCAATGGGAGTCTGGGAGATGTGGATGTGAAGCTCAAGGCAGTGGGCGGTGACGACGGTACCTACTTTGCAGACCCGTTTATTTCCCACTCCCTGGCACGCTGTTGTTGCTGCATTGCACCTATCAATCTGTCCGCCTCCACACTGCGTGACTGCCTGCCTCTAAAAGGCCTCCAAAAGGTGGCCACTGGTTGGAAGGCGCAGTCTGGCAGTTCAGCTGAGGTGGAAGGTCCAGCCTTGTTATGCAATGTGCACAAGCTTCCATTCTCCTGTCATTTTATGCGTATCGGCTCGTTTATGCGAGTCCAATCAGTGGATATCTAATCAGGTACCTGGGTACCTTGCATTTGACTTCAACCTGTCGTGTGCCTCGTGCTTCTCCTTCTTATCAGCGTCCACCAAACACCGCAAGCCACCATCCCTCCCCCCCCATCGACACTTTCGTCCCAGCAATGATCCCTCCCCCATCTTGTCCGACCATCTCAGGCGCCAATTGCACATCTTTCCGAAAGCCCTCCGTGACACCTCCATCTGGATCGCAGGTCCCGGCCGACTGAACCAGTGTGAATAATCTACACAGTAGCGTGCCTGGCAGCTGCTATGTGTGTTGCTGCCCTGAGCTGGCCAGAACCCTAGATATCAAGAACTGATCGTCTGTAGAGGTTGCTAATTCTTGTGGCCATTCTTAGATCTCGGCCCTCGACTCCGAAGAACGCTGAGGAAACAAGACGCACCGGAACTTCCGTTCTATTGTGAACACTAATATCTGTATCGCGCCTGGAATTTCGGACGGAGCTCAGCCCGAGAGCCAATGCCCATATCATCGGCCCCGTTGTCGGAGTCTTCATCTCTCTAGTTGCAGGCCTCCGCAACGTCCGGTCCTTGGCTTCCTTATCGGCCTTCTCCGACCCCAGGTTATTGCTAAGCCGTGCGACGGTGCGTAGCTTTCTCGCTCCTCCGCCAGCTTGCAGACGTCCATTTCTCCAACCCCTGTCGACCTATACCATTCGCTCTCATCGACGAGGCAGGCAGGCGAACGGAGAGCAACCTTCGACCATCTGCCACCGGGCTAGTCTTAGCGCCATTTCCAACTCACCTTCCGTCCCATCCGCTCTGATGGTCGCCCAATTGCCCAGGCCCCATGTCGCTCGTTCGTCTGCTTGATCCAATAGCACTTGGCCGGAGCTTGTCGATGGTCCTCGGGAAACCGATACGGGATCCCACCCGTGCGACGGCCTACGTCGATCCTCTGGGCGCCTCTCCCGCTTTCAGCACCGTCGGCCGTGTCATCACCATCTTCACCTGGGCAACAAGAGCAATACGTCTGCGCCAGGTTAAGAAAATGACGGATGGGATGCTCGCATTCCCGATGACTGTGAGCTCGCTCGCTCGTCCGTCCGTCAAGCCACATCCCGGGCAAGGCGCTTGAACATTGGCATCCATAAAGTCCGAACCAGCCTGACCTACTATGTTCCTCGCCTCGGCTACAAGAGCAAACGCTTGGGCAACATGCCAGAAATTTGCCTGATACGAATCGTCAGTCCTGGATAGTATTTAGGTTGTCACGTTGTGCCCCGAGGTGTGCCTCGCTAGCAAGCGCAACTTTCATAAAGCCCGGAACCCACGCGGCTACGGTGGTATTCATGGAAGAACTGCCTCTAAATGATATTGAGGACTGTCTCAGTGGGCGTTGTCTCACCCGTCTCGTCCGCCTTACCCCGCCATCTTGGCCGCCCATCACTTCCATCCCTATCAATACCGCAAACATCCAGCCACCGATTCGGTCTTTTGCATCAGTTATAGATGCCTGAATGCGACGCATCGGGCCAGTAGCAACCGCCCAGATAAAGCTCACAAAGCAGGCAGCACATTATCTCACCCGTCATTTGTCGCATATATGACGGACCAATCGTCAAATGCAGCCATGTGTAGCAACATGAGACGACTCTGGTATATTCGTACCCTCCGAACAGTGTATGGAATTACGAAAGACGACATTCAAACACCGGGCCAGCCAGTCGCTTACACACACCTGTGTGTGGTCAAAACCCGATCAGACTGGTAAGTTACCTAGCGCATGGCCAGGCGCGAGCAAGAGTCATCATCTGCACCACCCTAAATCTAGCGACGCCATCCCACACCCTCACGAGGGTCTCAGATGCTGCCTTATCGCTCTCTTCTGATTCGCTTGTTTCTTCCCCAACTCTGCGTCATACAACGCTGGCATCGTCGACTGGGCTCTGGCGCGGGTGTGGGTGGAAACGGGGATGGTCGTTGTGGGTTCTTGGAGGTTCAGCAAAGAACTGAGTCGGAGCCATGTCAAGACATGGCTAACTTCTCCATGGTTTGCGGGGTAAAGCCAGGTGAGTACCTACCTCTGCCCAGCCGTCGGTATCCATCGCTTGTCCAAAGTTCGACGTCACGAATGTCTATGGATATTACTCGTTTCTCCCTTGCGACGGCGCATCTCGCAGCTCGACAGCATCGGGCCAAGGGCACGCATAGTATTGCTGCCGCGTACGAAATGGGGGCACGAACATTGGCGGGCCGCACACGCTTCCTTTCTATGCAAGTTTCGATACCTATTGATCCGTTGGCCAAGTTACGGCAACCTCTAAGGTAGGCGACTGACTGCGCGGACTCCAACACCAACATCAGCGCCAAGACCCCAAAACACGGCTCCGGATCTCAACGGCGTCCTGTACTTCCGCACGGCCCTTCACTCTCTAAACTCAAACCCGCCAAATGCGCGATAGCCCGATACCTCACTATTCGTAGTCTTGTGGCCGCTTATTCCGGTACCACCCCTTCGAGACTCTGTCTTGTGCATGGCTGCAGACCTCACGTGCTCCCCATCTGCTACTATTCGTGACCACACTTTGACAGCCATGTGCTCCAGCAGCAGTTGCTCACAGTATGGGTGGCCCTGGTAGGAGACATTCGAGCGGGCTGTCACGTTCTTGTCTTGACGACGCGGCCTGCCACCATCGGGCACATAGGTAGAGTTACAGTAGACAGGAGACGTGGTTGGTACTAACGAGGTGTCTTTCCAACTGAACCTCTCCTCCAGGTCTAGACCTTTTAGTCAGCTCGTGGCTTATTCTTGAGGCGCTCCCTGCTGCTTGCCTCACGGGTTCACTTTCGGTTGGTGAAGCTTTCCCCGCATTGGCGCTGTCGATTGTGGTGACTGGAGCTATGAGACAAGCCTCTCGTGGGGAACGGTGTAAACCATGTAGACCCAAATGCCTACCTCGGGTCGCTCATACTGTTCCACAAGGCCGTTTCCCTTATGCTCATGTGCGACTAAGGTGCCCGCAAAGGGCAAACCATCACGAGCTCGGGGAAGAGAGAAGGTGCTAAGCAGTCTCTTGCAAATAGTGCTGGCGCGCTTAGGCTCATGATACTCCTGCAGACCAATGACCCTTGGCCATACCTCTGTAACCAGGCTGAACTTCTGTGCCGGATATATCGTGCATCTACTTGGGTATAATGTGGTACATTGATGCGACATATTGACGCGATATGTCGGTGTAATGTCTTTATGTGAAATGGACAACACCAATCCTCCTTTTCCAGCCTTTGATCCCGCCAATTCCACAGGCGTATCACTAGGAGAAACACCCAATACAAGCATGTTCCGTTCCGTCCCGTTTCGGGGGAAGGGAAGGGAGGAGAATGCTCATCATAATCTCCCGACGACACCAGTTGATTGATATGCCTGAACTGAGCAATGCCGGCCGTGGTGTTTATAGAGAGACAAACTTGGATTTCTTTTGGACGGGGCATACTCATGTCAGAGGAGATGGTCAGATAACGAGTGAAATTTCTCCGAGCCCACTTTCCAAGCTGGCACTGTCTGCCTCTTTCGAGTTGTGCGTTCCTATTCTGCATTTCCGTCCGGGCAAACTCGCTCTCTGAACAAATTACAGAGACGGCTTGCTGGATTAATATCAAACAAGTCACTCTTGTTTTATTCCACTCACGGGTATTCATCAGGATTCTTCGTTTGTAAACAGGCCCGGTGACGACTTGCCCACTCGAGCAAAAAATCTACCTTTGTATTTCCTTTCCCCATCCGTTGGTATCTAAAACCCCTTACCACGACGACGCCAAATATAGAACTTGCATTGCCGCCAGTTGGGTTATCTGCATCATACATCTTTGTAATCCACTAGACCAATCGTTCATGGAGGAGAGGCGAGTGAAGGCAATGATCGCGACTGAGATGTCGTAATGAATGGGTAGAATCACGATGTCGAATTTGGAAATCCAAATGGCTTCAATTTACAGTCAGAAGGATCCCGCTTACCCAAAACAGCTTTCCAGCTCTCTTATTCAAGGCCTCAACTGATACCATCCCCTGTCGTACGAGGGGTTATCGTCCCTCATTCAATGTTGAACTTGGTCTACCTTTTTCTTTTCTTTACCTCTTCCTCCCAGTCCCGTGTACCAGGCGTATGAACTCTCAACATCGCAAGATGGACTACATCTTTGGAAGGAAAGCATATCAAGGGTCTAGATAGTAACTCCTAAAAAGAATAATACGTTCCCGCTTGCTAGCCCTACCTTATACTATCTACATCTCTTTCCTCTCCTTCCTCTTTCTCTACATCTCGCCTCTCGCCTCACCAATCCCCCCAAAAACATCACATCGAAAGCACACAAGACCAAAAAGCAGAATATGCATTTATACTATCAGCATCAGAAATAGAACGTAGTTTGAATTTGGATATTTCCACAGCCAACGCCGGGTATTTAATCCCCTCTCCCTTCATCCTTCCACACAAAAAAACAAATCTAGTACTTTGTCCCTCCCATCCCGCTCTTCCAACCCCGAGTCTACCCTTCCATTTGTTGAAACATAATTCTTTACTTCCACCTTTTTTACTGTGCTCCAAAGGCAAGCAACTTCCATTTAGATTACAACCGCAGAAATCAGTTGGGCCGCCTTATGACCCAGTCTTGACCCGGCTCAAACCAGGAAACCTCTTCGTGCCCTTGGGACTCTCAGGCGCAGCATTCGCGTCCTCGTCCTCCCGCTCAGGCGTATCTTCCCTCTGCCCCTGGCCCTGACTACCGCCAGCCTCCTTCTGATTCCCATCACGCTTCCGATGCGTCAGCGCGCTGAGTTTATCCCTCAAAAACCCGCTCCCGGCAGACCTCCTCCGATCACTCGACTCCGCGCCCGTCGCAGACCGTGAAAGCGAGCGGATCGTGCCCCCGCCAGCCTGGTCAAACGGCGCCAGACTACTCCTACTAGAAGGCCTCAACAGCTCGAACCCCAACCCTTGCGTCGGCGCCCGGCTATCGAGCGGCGTCGGCGGCGTCATCATGAGGAAACTGGGGACGGCGGGCTGCTGTTGCTGTGATTGCTGCGTTTGGAGACTCGACTCGCCCATCCGACGGGACCGCCCGCTTGCGACGCTGGAACTCCGACTCGTCGACCGCGGGATGGGAATGCTGCTCGCCGAGCTGCCGTGGTGCGAGCGTGGCGGCGAGCGGGAGTAGTCGACAGGCGAGTTACCGTATAAGCTCGACGAGTCGTCGCTGTTGTTGATGCTCTCCGCGTCATGCTGGGACGACGACGAGGGCGTGGGTGCGATGAGCGAGGACCCGCTGGCGAGTTCCCGAAGCTTGCTGGCTTGCGTGTTGCTTGGGCGATGCTTGAACTTGTTGCCGATGATGGCACCGGTGTGCGAGATGAGAGCCTTGATAACTGCCTTCTTGAGCGCGAGAGCCAGGTCGAGGTTCGACCACGTCTTGTTGCGCCACTCGACCGCCGGCATGCGGAATACAAAGTCGTGCACGTCCTCCACGTTGCGGTTGTCTTTGCCCTTGTAGCTGAGGCAGAGCACCACAGAGGGCATCTTGATTTGCGCAAAGGTCATGTAGTTGCTGGCGCGTGACATCATCTTGGTGAGGTCATCCGAAGGTTTGGAATCCTCCGCTTTTGATTCCTTGCGCCGACCAAAGCGCGACTTCTTGTCACCGGGAAGTGTGCTCTCCTTTGACGAGAAGCCGGTCGAGGTACGACCGATTCCTGGGCGAGGCTCCTTCGTCGACTTGAGTGACTCGTACGAAGGCTTCTTGGTCGGGACCTTGCCTGTACCGACGGAGCGGAAGAGACGGAACGTATGGCCCTGGCCCTCGCCTGTGTTGACCGTGAGCGACTTTTTGCTGTTTATTGACTTGGTCGGAGAGTCTGAGTTCAGTGTTGGTTGCAGACGCAGTTCAAGCGAACCCGGTCGTGTGCTGAATCCGTCCTTATCGCTAGCAGTCAGACGACCAGAGCCAGACATCGAGTCGTCATCTTCATCGTCGTCCTCAGTGGGCTGGTGCTTGAGCATAAAGGGAGAATCGTTCTTGTTCTTGTTGTCGCCGTCGATGCCTGGGAAGATGTACTCAAACACCCTCTTGCCAATCTCACGT